CTTAAGATTAAACAAATTATCAACACACTTAATATATATGTGATATAGATGTAAATAATAAATATTTATTTTCTAATTATCAAATTATAAACTATTATGTGCAATTGATTTGCAGCATATATTATTTTTTAAAGATAAATAAGAACAGAATAATTATATGTGTGGTGCTTTATTTTTATAATTATTGTTAATATTTTTAAAGAGCCATAAGCCTTGACTGTTTTCTAAACTCTACACTTACAAAATAAAAAACAAAATTAATTAATTAGTTGTTGGCGGCACTTCAAAAGTTCAACAGGCACTTGAATCATTTTTAAAGGCTGCAACTGTATGCAATGCTAAGTGTGGCAAGGGTGCGTTGGAGAGTGGGGCGGCAATGCCCAGCATCAATTAATTAAATATGTTGTTGGTTAAGCCAGTTGATTCTCGCAGCTTAAATGCTTTGGTTTGCGATTCGCATGGACAAAAAGCCGTAGCTTCAACATATCAACGAAAACTTGACTTAATTGATTTAAATTTGATTGATGAACTCAAAAATACCCACGCACACACACGCACACCAACACATCCATTGAAATGTAAACAAGCAATATTGCAAGAGGCGAGCTTTAAAAAAAAATTGCAAATATAACAAATTAATAATTAAATATGAAATGAAAAAATATTGACAAAAATGCATATCAATTACCAACGATAAAAAGAAATACATATATATAAATAAATCTGAGTTGAAATTGTATATATAACTGAGTTTTTTTATGTAACTTTATAACAAAAATTATATTAATTTTTTAATAATACTTTTTTATTTGTATATTTCTAGAGTAGTTTATATAAATGTATGAATTGATATTTAAAATCAATTATTTTAGGTTTATTGGTTTAGCCACAGTTGTCAATAATTTCTCAAGCCAACCACCCATTTTCACACACTCATAACACACACACACACACACACACGAACACTCAATCATAAAACTGACACAGTTCCCCATTTACTTGCCCGAATGTTGCCAGCCAGACGAGTATTAAATTATTATTATATTATGCAAAAAAAAGAAAAGAAAAAAAAAAATGAAAGGAAAAAATAAATGTGAAAGAGAAAGGATGCCATCAAGTCATTTTGATCCCTTGCCAGTGACTGAACTTTTATGCGACTAACCCAAAAATCTGACAGTTTATTGCAGAGCAGCCAGCAGATTGAGATAATAAACCTGTTCGGATATGAAGTTCAAGTTGCCGAGCCAAGCTAAAGCGAGTTAAAAATTGTTGATTACATTTGAATCCCAGTCATAACTGTCAGAGAGTGCCGCCGCTCAGTTTGCCACTGGATGCCACACCACAGACCCATCCTATGGACGCATTATGCCCCACCCATGCCACATCATCTGCCAATGATGGCAACATGGCGTATGTGTGATGTATGCTGGCGCTGTGCAAAAAAGTCGACTGTCATTATGTCATAAACATATGAGCGTCGAGAGAACGAGGCTTATACTTAAAATGCACTCATAATAACGCCGCCTGGCCCCTTTGGCCCCTCATTACTCACGGCATCAACTTTGCCGGCCAGTTTGTTGCTGTGCTTTCAACAAGAGGCAGCGTGTCCCATACTATTGGCATCATCTCTGCTTAAATTTAAATTCATGTTCACGTATTGATGACGCGTAGAGGGTCAAAAGTTTACACTCTCCTGCACTATTTGGGTTTCAAATCTGCAAATCAATTGGGGAATCTATATATTCCGAGTTTGACAGAATGTTTGACTCTTAGAAACTGGGAGATTCTTTTTATATATATTATTATTTATTTAAGCAATCAAATTTTAAGAAAATCATAATGAGATTATGTGTTCCATTTGTAACAACTTTATTTATTTATGTCATTTTATCAAACTGTTACGTATAGATTCATAAAAACTTAAGTACAAATGTAATAATGAAATTCTGTGTTCAAATCAATGAATTGAACATTTTCATATCAATATTTAATTGATTTATTTCTAATTGTACAATTTCATAAAAAAGAAAATTATATTTTATATAACTAAGTAATAAAAAATAAAATATAAAATATATATAAAATGTATTTCTCTAATGTAATAAAAATATTTACATCAGTTATGCAGTTATTACTGTGATTCCAATTCTCCACTTTTCTAGAACATATTCCAAAGTCAGTTTTGTGTACAAGTCGCAGTCAACTAAGCGAAATCATTTTTGGGGCACAGCCATCGCATTTGCGTGATTTAGGATCATATTTTCGCTGACAACCTACCAGCAATTGCCAAATATATCGAATATTTGGGTCCGGACCAAATGGACAGCAATTGACCCGGCAACAAAGAGGCAACAACAACAACAATAGCAACAGTGGGCATGCCTGCAACTTGTTGTCGCTGCACCGCCCATGGCAACGAAAATGAATTCCAATGTTTAAGCAACGCTCGAGCGGTGAAATACACGTAAGTTCACACAACTGTAAAATTATATGCCAAACGCGTGGCACAGCAGAAATATCTGATGTGCCGCTTGGATAGCCGATACGGTTCTGTGTATGTGCCACAGCACACACATGCCCAGCTGTACAGATGTATACCACACCCCGTGAATAGCGGTCATGTTATCAAAAGTTAACAAAATTCTAATTACGGAATTTAAGCTTGCAGCTGTTTCTGGTCAATGTTTTTATGTTCCCAAAATAAATAGTACATAAAAATAGAAACAGTACGAAAACTCTAGTCTACCACGTATTATATATTGAAACTGGTGTTTAATTTCCTCGTGGAATCGAAAGACATATCGATAAAACAAAATAAAAACGCTTTGCATAAAAATGGTATTCGAATTTCTCCTGTATTTCTTAACACATCTTGATGAAAATTGTATATGCGCTGAATATTATGTCAAACCCTTTAAGAGAGATTTGCCTTCAAGGTTATTGAGGTTTTATCACTATCGGATATCGATTTGTACTAACAAATTTATCGATAAATCAAAATATAGTATGCGTACAGTATCCGAAGACTGTTTGAAGAGAACTGACAGACACACGCGGAGACGGACATGTCTAAGTCATCTTCTCTTTTGATTCCGATCAAGAATACATATATGTTCTATGGTAGCAGATATGTTTTTTATTTCCTTTGCATAAATTTACAGAAACTCTTTACACCCTTCTTATCCATTTTTAACGGCAGCAAATAGCTGACATATGCAGAGCATATTTATTAGCTGTATAGTGAATATCAATTACAAATTTTAGCTGTGTAAATAGGAAACCATGATTAAAATTGACTATATCTAATATTACTAATATTGCAATTGCTATATATGGTAAAAATAAATAATAGCTTGCAATTATTCTCGTGGTCAGTAAATTGATTTTATATCAGGGAAATATAATAGCTGACAATGGCATTTATTGCATTGACACATTAATTTAAAATTACAAGAGATACAAACGCTGTTTTAATTTGTGCTGAAAAAAGCGAAATTTTTCAAATTCATAATCAATTTTTTAATTATAATAATATATCAACTAAAATATTATACTAAAGCAGGTGAGTGAATCTTACATCGCTTTGCCAACAATTCGGTTGCCTTCAATTGAACCTCACATTGAACCACAATTTGGCTTTTTAGTTGATGTAGCCAGGCTTTTAATCCTCTTGGCCTAATGTCAATCTGTAAACATTATCATGCCATCAAACAGCCGCATGACAGCACCCAGGACATAGCAGAACTTGTCTAAAACTTGCTCATTTATTAAGTTTTAATAGACTTGTGCATGCACACAAATACATACAGTGTGTGTATAGATATGTGCTGCCCACAGCTCAGCCACAAAACAAGCCACTCAAACCAGCTGAGAATATGCAAAGAATTATTAGAAGTGAGTGTTGAACTTTATTTTTGATGTGGATGAGAAGGGCGAAGGAGAACAACAATGGCAACGACGACAAGTTGACTAACTGCCTGAGGGGGGGTCGAGACTCCGGCACTACAACTCCAACAATTTCATGTATGTGTCTTGTGGCATAAGAAATTTTGTGGCTTGGCTTTGGCATAATAGTGCCGAGTATCCAGCAAGAGATACTCCATTGCCAGTTCTTGTCAACTCCGGTTGTTTTAGTTTTTGCTCGACGCGCCGTTGGCCGGGGCATATGTAAAACTTTTAGCAAACATGACAACACAACCGAATAATATCGCATGCCATAAATTACACTTAAGTATTTAACAGCTTTATAGAAAACAACAAACATGCCACGCCCACAAACCGGCGTCGAGCAAGCAATAAAACAGTCGAGGCGGTGACAAAGACGATGAAGCAAATCCGCAGCTCTGACTGCATAGCATATAAATATATACATAGATATATATATATAAATATGTGTGTGTGTGTGTGTGGAAAAGTCTAGAGAATAAGTGTAATCTTTTATCTAAAAACATTTTTAATCAAAATTCCGGTTGGGTGTTACCCAGCTAAACTCCTTTTCAGTTCAGCTCTTGCTCGGGGCGTGTCTGCAGGAAAAAGCCAACGTAAATAATGAATGAGTTGCTGCAAAAGCTGAAACTAGGAAATTGCTCAAAGAAATGCACAAAATATTTAAATTGACTGTGATGCTAACTATTGATTATATGCGATTTATGGTATTTGATTAAGTATTGATACTTTAATTTTATTTTATTATTGCCTGAATATAATCCATTTAAGCAAAATTTAAAAAAAAAAACAAGATCAATACTGAACAGATTTACACATAAATATAAATATGTATATGTGTAAATATTAGCTTGGTCTGTATGCTAAGGCCAGATCAGTTCGAGCCAGACAATATCAGTTTTCAGTATTTGCTTTTTAAGCAATGTTTTAATTTTTGTTCTGACTCCAATTTTGTTCCTTTTTTCCAACAAAACAAATGAACAAATTAAATGTTATTAAATGTGCTTGAAAATAATAAAAATTCATTCTAAATTGATATAAACAACATATCGATATCGATAAAAAATATTTCAGGTTTTTATTTTGGTTGATTTACAGCTCGGCGGAGTTTTTCTCAATCCAGGAACGTAGAGAAGCAACATCAGCGTATACACCAGGATAACTGGACCAGGCGCAGCCATTGCCCCAGGAGACAACACCGATCTGCACACCGTTGGCAACAAGTGGGCCGCCAGAGTCACCCTGGCAGGCATCCTTCTTCTCGCCATTAGCGCAGACCATTGTCTCCAATATTGATTCCTCGCCATAGGCATAAGGTTCCTTGCGACAATCCTCAATTTGCAACACCGAAACATCGACCATCTGCAGTATTTTGGGCGATGAGCAGAACAAGAAACAGGTGGTGCCCCAGCCGGTGACAACAGCCGGAGTGCCCGTCTTTGGTGTATCCTTGGCCAAGTCGATGGTGCGAACCTTCGCTGTCATTCGCACTGGCGAGCTTAGCTTAATCAAGGCAACATCATTGATCATGAGTGAGCTGTCGTAGTCCTCGTGGAATTTGAACGACTCAACGCTGACCACTTCGCCATCCTTGTCGCTGTTGGTGGAGCCCAGACGCACCTGCATCTCGCCAGCCTTGTATTTCTGCATGCAATGGGCGGCCGTCAGGACAATGTTATCTTTGATCAAACTGCCGCCGCAGAAGTGGAAGCCGTTGGTCCGCTGAATGGACACCTGATAGGGATAAGCCTCAATTGTGGTCGGCTCGCCATTCACAATACGTCCGCCGAGTCTGTCCGGTTCAGGGAGTGCCTGGCAGGCGGCGATGCAGGCGATCACCCCAACAATACACAAAACCAATCGATTCATTCCGTTAGCATTTACTAAACTAAACAGAAGTCGATCGGTCGCCTTTTTATACTAGCCAGTTCGATCGGCATCTAATCAGTTTGCCAGTTTAAGCTGTAAATTAAGGGCCATATATCAGACAAAAGCTTGGAGAGGCCATTATTTCTGGGAAGCCTTCTCAAGTTTACTGATAAGCCAGTTTTGGGAGCACGCGATTTTAAACATTATGTATAATATAACACACCTACTATAGAGCACGACAGCTATATTTAATTTAATCAAGAAGGTCGGATATTTTTGACACGCCGAAATGACATACACTTTTATAGCGGAGCTTATCTGCTTGCTTTTAAATTTTTGTGGGAATTATTGTTAGTTAGAAATATTATTATATGTTTTAATGATTTTTCAAGACTGTTTCAAAATGTATACAGCAGCTAAATGATTTAGTTCTCCCCCTTGGAGAGGCGTTGAGTCCTGAGAAACTGACGCAAAAAGATGGATATAAACCAAATTTCAACAAGATAGCTTTAAGAACTAAGGCAGTCCGATTCATTTAAAAACTTGGTGTACGATAATCCGAAGAAACGGACATGATGAAATACTAAATGACAAAATCGTTATACCCCCGACAAGGGTATCAAAATTGATGTTATCAAAGCTGAACAATAAATCTGCCAGCTACGTATTTATAATCACACTGATCAATATGTATTCAATCGAATGAGACTATCTGTAATTAAAACCCAAAGTTAATTGAAAAATCCCACACTTAAGTGTATAACTGATAAGGAAATCTGAATTAACTTTTATTAGTATTTAGTTTTCCAGAAATATACTCCTTAAATAAGCTCTAATAAGCGTCATGATTAATCAAATTGAAGAAGAATTGCCATCGTCGACTCATTGAAGATTAAATACACTTGCAGACCAGATTTGATTGATTTTTTATTTTAACATTTTTAATTTCTAAAATGTGTTTTTTATAACATAAATTAGTCTGATGTTTTTTTAGCTCATGTTCTACCTTCCTATAATTCCACAAGTTTAAAGCTTTTTTTATATAAAACGTAAATGGAGTCGCCGATTTTAACACATAATAAAAAATGGATTAGAATGAAATGATTTTTTTTTTAACTTAGAAGATGTAAACTTAGCGGACTTATAATATAAACATCAACTAGCTGACAAAATCAGATCAAATTATCAATTAAAAATTTGTAAATGATTTACCTATTATTATTATAATTAAGTTATACTAATCCTTTTGCTATCTCATTTTATAGATTCATTAATTGACTGGTTCACTGATTTACAGCAACACTGATATATATATGTATAAGCAATCTTGCCAACATTGTTATCTGTTCGCTAGCTTCTAATGAATTCTCTGAGGGACAAGAGCAATCAGTGCATATAGAAAACGTAGCTTTATCTTATCAAGTGACTAACAAAGCAAGCGAGTAACTTACCACAACTGACAAGAAAGACAAGACAAGAAAAGACAAACGGCGACCAGTTGAGCTGACCATGTAAAGAATTGAGGCAAAAAGTGAACATGACCATGAATTTGAGCTGCCAAAGTTCATTTTTAATTTACAGCGCAAAAAAAAAAAAAAAAACAAGAAAGCGGAACAACGGAACAATCCATATAAACCCGCAGCACACAAGAAAGCTCGACGGGTTCAAGTCCTTGCCGCAGTAGGGGTGCACGAGAAGGGAGTGAGGGTTATGGGATGAGTACTCGTTCTTGTGTTCAAAGTTGTTGATATCTATTACTGCAGATTTGAAGTTGTTCGCCGGCGTCTCAACTCACTTAACTCGCAGGACGTGTGTGGCAAGGGTCGAAGAAGGCGGAGGACTTAAAGACAGTTGCCAGTTGAATGAAGCTGACTTCAAGCTGGGCGAGCAAGCTTGCAACTTCAACTGACACAGACAGCAAGCAGCAGCGAGCAACGAGCTGTGGAAAGTGAGGGTGACTACACAATAAACAATTTCTGAATATGATTGAATAACTTACAGATATTACATTTTTATTACACACATAATGGACTTTTAATAAATATATGTAAATTTAGAGAGAGAGAGCAGCAGACTTAATGAAGAGGGCCAGCGAACCCATTCACTAAATCCATATTTACCTAAACTCCTCCCTATAAAGTTTCTTACACTTCAGTTTCCTTAGGGCTGTTTCGAATTTAGATATAAAACAAATTATATTGATTATTAATTGATGGAGTAAGCGTATAATAAGAAATATATATTTAACAAACACAAAGATAATAAAGACCAGAAAACAATAAATGATCAAAGATTATTATGCATATATACGGGAACTTATTTTATATATTATTTGTATAAATTCATGTGGTCTTAAATGCAATGCATATTTGAATATATTAAAATTGAGCACAAACGTTAGTTTTGTGCAGTGCAGACACAAACAGAGGCAGACGCACACATATCTAGATACACACATGAGATGACACTTTGCTGGGTTTGGTTGCTGCCACGAGGCACGTAGCGCATTGCAGTTAAGATTTGGATTTGGTTTTGCCAGCTCGCTGGCTGAGCATATCAAAGGAAAAACTACAAAACACTTATCTGGGTGACAAATAGAAAAGCGGGCGCAGCACATCCCAACAAGACGCCAGCATTGAAAGAATACTATCTTTGAGTAGATTAAAAAAGAAAATGGCATAGTAGAAGAAAACCGAACAACTCGAAAATGGAGCAACACAAAGTAAGAAAATGACGCACGTTGTCGTTATAATAAAGGGCCACACAATATGAGGCGAGGAGTTGTGAGGGGCACAGGTGACAGGCCAAGGCTACACATGTGTATATATGTATATGTATACATATCTAAACGTATATGTATATATGAGTACGTATATATGAGGCCTAGACAGGCTGCGGGCGCTGCGTCTACATTTGCCATTTTGTTTTTTGTATTTACTTCAATTTACTGCGTTAGTAGATAGTTGACAAGACTTTGCTGCCCTCTTTGCCACGCATTGTGACGCGGGCATATTTGCAATCTATAAATATTAAATGGTTTTAAATTACTATCTATAGATAATGAGTTATAAATATAAAAAAAAAATACTGCTAATACGAAATACAAATAGGACATATATTTTTTACAGATAAGGTTTTGTTAAAAAAAAACCAGCTGTCAGCAGTTCTGTATTTGTCTATTTGCTTACTTATTTGAGACAGATTTTAAGTAAATAAATAAATAATTGGGTTAGGTTAGGGCTACATTACTTGTGTCGTATTTCGCTCATTGTGATAGTAAATATTTATAGGTTTTGCAAAAATAAGGGAGGTTTTTTTTACCAATTAAAAAGCTTTACTAATTAGTTAAATATAAATTCATTTGCAACAGAATAATTTTTGTAGTTGAAGTCTTACCTTACATCTTAAGTATATATATGAGACGTAGCATTACAGAATATTACAGTTAGCGAAACTAAAGAAATTTATGAAAATAATTGTTAACAAATCCGATTTCTAAAACTGACAAATGACAAATTAGATAGAAAAAGTTGTTAGATAGTAGTTACTAAAATCGAAGCGGTCTCGTTCAATTCATTACTGATCTAATCAGAAATATGTAATGCCAAATTTACTAAAACAATAATACTAAAACACAATCATTTAGCTGTAATGGAGTACAAAAATCAAAAGCGATTCATTTTGCCATATGCCCGATATTCTTGCAGTTAATATTTGCAAGACAACTCAACCGCGACTTTATCCTAACAAGATCGAGTTAGAGCCAAAGTCTATTTGTGCTGTTGTTGGGATTTGCCATTCACTGTGCCATTTTCTACATCACTTAAAATCATTTTACCAGTTCTGAGTATTGTTTGGCCTCACGCACATGCCCCTTAAGCATTTGTTGTATTTGGATTTGTGTCTCATGTGTGCAGATTTGATTCCCTATCAGCTTCGTGTGGCATACGTTTCAACTGTTTGCCGCAGGACTCTCAAAGGAAACGCAGCAACAACAGCACAAGCTGTGGCAGAAGGTTGAGGTTAAGCAAGCGCAATGTCAAGTGGATAAGACGGAAAAAGCCTTGACATAAGCATTGTAGAAATCTGGGATTAATTTAGCGATAAGTCCATGAGCTGTATATGCGAAAAGTATGAAAATGCCCTCAGTTAATATCATATTGTTTTTGTAGCCCCGACGCGAATTATTATAGATTTTAAAAGCCACTGTGACAAACAATTGAAGGGAGTCTCTGCAACACCTTTTAGTATTACTATTTATTATTACTTTACTTACGTACTTTCATTTATAATTCAAGTTATTTTTCGTTACATTAACTAATTATAGAAAATTCTACAGAAATAATAACTTTTAAATTCATTTGAATACCTTTTTTAAAAATAATATAAATACAAATTTAATTCATTATACACACGTGAATAAAATATGCAATTTTAATCAACGATTCATCTTAAAACTAACCCATAAAGAGCGAGAGAGAGGGCACTTTCCAGAGTGCAGACATTCCCATAAATAAAAGGGTCATCTATGTGCGTAAACAATTTATAATTTATAAGGCAACAACGTGCAAATCACATCACTACGCCTTTTGTGTAAAGCTTTCGTAAAAATTTATTAAGAAGGAGTTTGGTTATTGCTATGGGTTTATATTATGTCATATGCGACATAAAAACATGACCGTAATAACAGGAACAACAGCACCAACAGCCTCAGCTGCAGCAGATTAATTTGTTATTAAATTACACAACACAACAATATCTAATTTCACAAGAGAGGAACGCGTGGGTTGCATTTTATTTGATAAATCTTATGTGTCTGCGTGTGTGTGTGTGTGTGTGTGTATGCGGTAGAGTTACATTGAATAGGATCCAGCAGAGATCCCTCCCAGGGGTAGGCTATTGTTGCCGCTAGCCAGTCGGCCTATTAACCACATTTTAAGCATAATTGAATTTTGTGCATAAATTTCGGTTTATGGGATGCTGGGAGACCACGGCCCGACCAGATTATTACATTATTTACTGTGCAGAGCTGACAGCCAGACGGTAAGAGGATTGGGATTGGATGGGCTTTTGGGTTGGCAAGCCGATCCGGGACTATTGGCCAGCAGGTTGCTTTGGCGCTCTGCTAGCGGCAGACGACAGAACATCAATTTTATATGACGCAAGCTGTGGCGATTCAACAGATTGGTCTGGCCAGCCTGCAGAGCTGACCTCAAACTGCCAAAAAAATATTTATTAAATTTGCTTTTTATGAGCCACACGCACACACACACACACACACACACAAAACAAAGTGCTGATCAAAATGTTGCCAAAGTGTTGGCAATTGTTTGCAGTCAATGTCTTTTACTAAACGCTGTCAAGTGTATTCTGAGAGATGGCCGAACAAATGGAAGCTACAAATTATGTGCCATGTAACTACAAATTTTACTAGACAAATAAAAAGAAAAATATACAAAACAATGTTGACAACTATAAATAGTATTTAGCTGGTGCTCCAAATATCTCAAAGAGTACTTAATATGATAGATACAAAAATTATTTAACTCAAAATTAAAATAATATTTTTCTTTTCGTTTCTTTCTTAAATCATAAACACAACTACAAGTTGTCCTATTTGACTTAATTAACTTGCTCGCTAATTTTATTTGATTTTATTTAATAAATGTGTTGAGCAAAATTATTATATGAGTATTTTTTTTATAAAATATTTATTAAATTAATTAATTATGCAAATTTACGGGTTAATTTCTTTTCGCTCAGAATACTTCTCATCTCTTGCATATTTACTCCATTTTGTATCAAATCACTGTTTTTATATTTTATTTATAAGTTGAATAATGTTCCATATTTAAATGTATTATAAATAAAACAACAGAATATAGCTATTAAATGTAATGAACATTCAACTCTTTATAATCAATTAAAACAAATTCGAATGATTCATAGTCAATTTCAAATATTTACTTCAAAAATATTATATAGACACCTGCATAAGTTCACTTTCTCATAGAGAAGCCGAGATAAAGAATGAAAACAGAAGGAAGAGAAACCACTCGCAGCACATCAGCTTTTTTATTAGCTGCAAAATAAACACTAAAAAACACTAAACCGAGTTGAAACAGAGAGACAGAGAATGAGAGTCAGAGAGCGAGAGAGAGGGAGATGGCGAAAGTGAAGAAAACACGAAAATAAACAGGCAACAACACAAAATGCAAACAAAGGCGGCAAGAGTTAAGTTACAAATATTTACAACGCGGCGCTGGCAGACACTCATACCCCCTCCTATTCCTCCATCCCCTCCAGCGTCTGGCTGCTGTTATTTGCCATTTGGTAAGACACTGCCAAGGAGCTAGAGTAAATGTTGGGCTTGCTCCTCAGCGAGGGTCCCGCAACTTAATAAATCTTATTAAAGTACACGCCGCGCAACTCTAAAATATGCCATTTTCTTTTTCGTTTTCCCTTTTTCCTTCGCCTTTTTCATTTTTGAAGCCCCATTTAAAGAGCCTAAAAGGCAGCGTCGTTGCTTGATTTGGCCCGTCTACCTTATTTTGGCTTTACATAAATTTATTTCTTATTTTACGCTTATATCCTTTTCCCTTCACTTAGATGTGCATTTTGAATGTGAAAATCACGATGATTTAACGAGGAATATCTTTTCCTTTACTGTACATAACATTTTATCTATATTATCTAAGCTTTTTTCAATTATTAGATAAACAAAGTTTCTTGAATATTAGTATGGTTCAATGAACTGAAATCCATTTGTGATTTTTGTAACAAAATATATGCAGAAAGTAAAAAAGACGCATCCTGAGGGGATTCGAAATATTTCGTAGTTTAAAAAATAATAAAGACTTAACAAAAAACATATTTAAATTTAAAAACAAAAAAAAAACATTCTTTTGAACAAATATTCTAATATATACTTTTAATTTTTATTATATTTTTTTAAACTAATTTTTAATGTTTCCCTGTTCCGATAGAGATTCGTCGATTTTCAAAGTAAATAAAATATCATAAGCTTACAGAACTTTAAGTACATTTTTACTCTCAATATACTTCATATCTTTTGATGTTTCTTATCTTATTCAAATAATAAAAATAAAAACCTAAAAGTATGCAATGTTTTTCTTACATATGAGGGATAAATGTGGAATTAAGTTGTAATTCGGTATTCGCGATAATAATATATATTTTATTATATTCTAAACAAATATATTTACTACCCATCGCCTATATGAATATTTCATATATACATTCATTTGCATAATATACACAATATGTTATTATAATACACAAAAGTTAAACGAATATTGATATCATCATCCAAAAATGAAACTATTACAAGATCAGATCTAAGACGGCAGTTTTCCCTTTTTAGTAAAAAACATACAACCATTAACTAATGTTTTTTCTACTTAAACGGGACTATTAATCGCAGCATGTTTGGACCTCGCTTCATACCCATTATATAAAGACATTTATCTTAGCTACATATTGCTTTTCGCCTGAACTTCGGTATGAGTGACCGAAGGACCTCGAAAATTTGCTTCGAGTCTCGTTCCACTCAGTGAAACCATTCAACCACGACATAAATTTGTGGTCCTAATTCAGTGTGCACAATTTTGCTGGCCTTTTTGTGGTACTTGCCAGTTCCTGGGTCCAGTAAACAGACAAAAGTGTGGTCAATACCCAACAAGAAGAATAAACAAGGCCAACTTGGCGACTGATTTTGCCAATGTGGTATCTAAAACAAATTATCGAATTAGTTTGTTTTTGTGGCAACTTTTATTAGCTGTTTAGCACATTATTTGGTTAAGACAATTGTTTTGTGCCCCAGACACAAATACGAAAAGCACATTGATACAGAAAAAATCCAATTATGCTCTAGTCGAGACTATTCGACTAGTATATATCCTGTACTCTGATCTTGAGTGCAGCGATGGATACCGTTTTCTTAACAAATTTAAGTCATAGCTTCCATGAAATTTATAACAGATTCACGCCTTATTCAAGAATATATGTTAGTCCCAGAAAGATCAAAAATATATATAATTTTCCTCGTACATACAACATAAAGTTGTTCAAGATATATATTAGGTGTGAACACCAAAGGAGCGTTGTTCCAAATGTTGTTGCAATGCCTGTAATGTTTCCTATAATTAACCAATATTGATTACTCGCTATTTCCGATAGCGTGCTTTACCCAAAACAATACCGGCTGGAATTAATTTCGAGAAACAATTGACCACGTGCCTTATCTTATCAGCGTGTCAATGGATTGGTTCAAAAACTATAAATACGTCAAGTCATTTCGGGAAATTACCCAATTGCTTGCTTACTAATGAACAAATATTTAGTTTACTTTAGATTGGTATAGATGTAGATATTCTAACAGGTTTTGAGAAAATTATAAACAAATTGGCTGTACATCGCTACAGAATAAGCTTTAAAATGGCTATGAATCAGTTATAAAGGTAACACCCCGTTACCATAGATTATTATAAAATTATTACTTTATAAAATTATTACTTTCACTGTGACACAAACAATTTACTTCAAAATGTAATAGAGAACATATCAAACTTATTAGATATTTAGTAAATTGAACTCTTACGCTAAAAATTGAAAAATTACCATTATAAATATTTTATACCAATCACTTTCCCGCCAGATGACCCACAACACATAATGCGCCCACTTCGACCTCAAGCGACAAATGACAAGTCCAATGTCATTAGTTAGAGTGCGACTGCCGACCTTTTGCCAAGGTCTTTGCCAATTGGTTGGGAGTGGGTGTGTTTACTGTGTCTACACACATTCGGTTGTTAAGTACACATGAATGTCATAATATACAGTCAGCAGCAATATACGATTATGATAAGCCAATTTTATTTTAAACACAAATGCAAAATGACAGCGCCATCAATCAAATTTCACGATTGTTGGTTTGATTGATTAAAAGATAAGTGTATTAAACAATGTTTAATATTCGATATATTATATATATGGATATATATATGTCTTCATATGAATTGCTTGTGCTCAAGGCACACTTTTGATATATTTAAACAGTGATGTCTCGTTCCTCTGTGTTTCACAAATGGATGTCTTCATATGTATTTAAATCACGCGCTATTTTCACACTTCCCTATACCCAGCACATTAAAGATTTAAGAGTATTGATTTTGAAAATAGTAAACAACATTAAATTAAACGTAGTTTACAACAGTTGCGAGCCCAAACATTAAGCCTTAATTTGCTATATATACATTTGAATCCCTTTTGAAGAGTACATCTGAGATTACCATATAATAATACCACATTGTTCACAACAAATAAGTTGTGAATGCATTTCAAGAGGTAAGCCAAATATTGTCAAGTCTAGGATATATTGTAGTCTAGACTTGCTCTCTGCGACTCCTTTGTCACACTGCTTGCCATGTTGCCTGCCAGTTCCACTGTCCACTTCCACTTGCGCTGTTTGGCCTCAGTAAACATGCTACGCCTGGGAAGCTTTGCACTTGAGCAGATTTCTTTTGTCGCGACCCATGCGACTGCGGGCTGCCATATATTTCTCATGAATGAGCGAGTATAGCTCCTGCTGAAAGTATCCGTGCTCTGGCTCGGCACTCTTGTAGTCACGTCGTATTTGCTTATCCCGCAGCCGGAACTCGCGCCACAGCCTCAGCAAGGCCAGCCATTTTTTGTCAATAAAGTCCAGAGTCTTGCGCTCGGACGGTGATTTCTTATAGTTGGTAATCGCGTGTAAGATGAAATTTGCATTGATTTGTTGCTGCAGCGTCAAATGGTCCAGCTGTTCTAGCTCTTTAAACGGGCAGCTGGAGCCCAAATTTAAGGTCGCCCCATTTGGCATTTCTTTTTGGTTTGCTCTCCTTTTTTTTTTTTCTTTTTTGGATTCTTGTATTTTATGAGAAATTGTTATTTTCTTGGCCTAGCCGGCAAGAGTAAATTATTATTTTTGCCTTGTGCACTCGTATTTCATATGTGTCTGTCTCTATTCTCACTTTTTTATACTAAATTATTGCTTAAGGTTGGCCGCGTATTTATAGTATGGCGTTGATAAAAACACACAAATTCGACTTTAAAAGAAATTTGCCCCTGACGGACTGATAACTACAAATGAGTTAAAAGCAAATTTTTAATTATTCGTTTTGTCATACTCTGAACCCATTGAAAATGGTTAGAAATATAATTTCTTGTATACCACCTGCAGATAAAGTTTATTTTAGTGTTTAGCGCAAATCAATATAATTCGAGCAATAAAAATACTACACAGACACAGCAAATTTAATTTGTAATTCAATTCGTAGTTTTAAGTTAATATATATAAGCAAATTCAGAGAGAGAATGGCTGGTTTTTGAAATACAGAAATAAACAACCAAATAGATTAAAAATAGTCAGAAATTAGTAGTAGGATTAATAACAATAATAAATAATAATAGAGCGCAGGAAGAATGAGTGAAATAACGATTGAGAGACAAAACAAAAAAAGATATTATACACATATTGTCACTCTCTAAAAGACTGAATCAATTGGTATTAACACAATACTGACCATACATACCTGCTCAATTGCTTAGCCAATCATTTTGGCCAATTGTTGAGTTGTACGTAGTGAATTGTTTATCAAATCACGCACATGGGAAAGGCCCACTTTATTTTAGCTGCCTTTGATTCATGACGTTTCAATGTGCGCACTGCGCTATCAAGAATATTGCTCGCTAAGCATGATATGCCACAGCACACTAGCACACACACACACACACACACACACACACACAGTAGTCACACACACGCACAAGCCATCGATGCCGAGCCTGGCACATTAGCCTACTCAACAAAATCTTTAGCCAGTCAGTGAACACAATCGTTAAGCATTACACTAGGCAACAAAATTTTATCACCCCCTCGTGGAGGGTAGGGGTGTTTGTGTCATGTTATCGTCAAGTGTCGCCAGTTCTCGTCGCTGATAATTGTAATGATTGTTGCCCCAAACACGCCCCAATCATCATCGATTCCGAAACATTCACTCGAGTGCTAAGTCCATGGATATAGCTGCGACTTACACCGTACTCGAACTCAATAATGATTTAATTACAGGCGTCGAGAAGGCATCAAGTGTCCCTCTTATGGCATGCAATCACTCTTTGGCCTACCCAAAAGGTGGCAGAAAGTGGTGACTAAAATTGCTATTGATGCATAAAATCTGATGGTTAGTTATGCGGTGAACAGCGCACTGACATGAGTTGGTAGTAAGTCTCTTTCAACTGGGCTAAAAAGGTTTATACAATTTAAGCATAAATGAACGCTTCTAGCCTATGATATGAAGATAAAGCATATTAGCAACAACGGTTGAATAGATTCGGTTATTTGCGAGTTAGGACTCTTAAATTTAATATGCTCACCCAGCGAATTGAAAATGTTGATTGGTAATAAAAGTAATAAAAAATTGTATTGCATGTAAATGTATACTTTTTATTTATAATGCTTATGTTATTATTTTGTTAAATATTCAGGTTTTTATGTCCTTATCAACTTAATTATGAATAGAAGTGGCTGTGATTATATATACTAAAAATTTATTATTAATAGTACATTTTTTCAAAACCCAGCTAATTATTTATATTTCTTATATTGATGACTTTTTCTTTAGGTATTAGTTTATTTTATAATCAGATAATTAATATGCATAAATGATGTTTGATGATTTGAAGTAGATGCTTCTTAATTAGTATTATATAAAGATTACAGCGCAGTTCCATTTGAAAATATATTAATGTAACATATAATAAAGGATAGATTTTGCTGCATGCATGGTGCATTATCGTAAATAAGTCGATTTAATTTTTAACTTATGACATATGCAGCCACCACATCCCAAACATATATGTGGATATATGAAATCTGATGGCGTTGTGCATTTTACAAATGCATTGCATATTTCAAGGCTGTCTATTTGCGATTTGTATGAGTGGTTTTGTACGAATGGCTTTTAAACACTATTTGCAAATGATTAAAATCAAATGAGCTGCGAATAATAATATTATTTGGTGTTGTTTTTGTAGTCGTTGCAGTGTTTGCTGCTTTAGTGCATATTTCATTTTAATCTGTTATTTTAGTATGGCTGGCTTTTGGTTTGCCTATTTAATTTGCAATATGAATTGAAAGGATTTACGAGCATGTTTAGCGGTCATTCAATCAGCATTCGAACATTTGCAAATATAATTGAGGCAGATTTCATTAAATTGCAAACTAGATTGCGAATTATAAAAGCAAATCTCATAATGTAATGGGCAATTTAATTTGATAGATAATTTAATCCTCTTTTTTTTTTGGCTGGCTTTACAAGTAGTTTTTGAAATACTGTATTTTATCTGGTTGTACCATTAAACTTCAGCAAGATGAGTTCAAGTCATTTTACTCGCACCATATTGGTCAATTGACTGTGAAAAACTGTGGAAAAGAGATAGCAAGTGACCAACTTGGCTAATGTATTTCTAAAGATATTTCCATCAAGTAAATTCAATTCACAACAGCAGCTGTTATCCGCTGCCCTTTAAAGTAAATATCATTAGCATTATGTTGCCACGCAGCTTGAAGCTCTTTGCTATGTCATAGTTCACGCCAGCTGAGTCGCTCTTCCAAACCAGCCATAACACTCCCCTGCCCACCCCTAACAAAAGCTTCATCGTCGTTGCCATCATGAACAATGTTTACCTTACTTCATATGCACATTTACACACACAAACATGGGGCAGCACTCATACGCAATGTGGTACACATACAACCTGAGGACATGTTTTCATATACAAAACTCTGAAGATAAGCAAACGAGCCCGTAACGAATTAAATGTACTCTTTGACTTCCATATAATTAAGCAGATTTTTATATTTGCTTAAATATAAAACATAATTACAATACATGTCTGACATGTCTAATATTGTTGATTATTTATAAAAGATGGATAATTTAACTAACTTCATAAACTGTTTAGTATTTGCAAAATGAAAATTAAACTATTTTTTTTTTCAAAATTAACAGATTTAAAAAAGCATCTGCGAATTGAAGTACAAATTCAGGGCTTACATGAAAAGAGCATAAATATGCATTAATTCATTTAAATAAAGTTTAAAATATACAATTGACATTATTCAGTGCCATTGAAAATTACCCAAAATACTAAATTAAGTATTAAATTTGATATGCTCTCCTTGAGGGTATTCAAAATTATGGGGAAATGTACGCAAGACCAAAAGGCATCCAACGATAACGCATTGAGTGAAAATCAACATGTGCACAAACACGCAGTAGCTTCTACTCGTAAATCTAATGCCTACTTGTAGGCACATATATTTTCCCTATACTCATATTGAATACATACATATATACATACATACTTACTCATACTCATAGAAGCATACTCATATGTGTGAGTGTGTATGTGTTGCAATTGAGTTTGGTAGCCCATGAAAAATGCATGGCAACTTTTCCATATTAGTTAAAAGGCAGACGAGACCAGAACGCAGCCAACGCACATCCAGCTCAATATTTTAATACCCTGGGAGTGGATATTTTGATTTTCTGACGAGTTGAATGCGATGACATAAAGTAAATATATTTTTCTCATCTATATTTTAGCACCTGGTTAAAGTCTGATCATCAATCTTAAAAAGTAACCTTGTTTTTTTCATATAAATATAAATATTTCATTTTTTACTTTTCGACTTTTCTGTATCGGCTGATAATACTCGACGTTAAATTAATAAATTTAAAATCGTGCATAAATTGGGTAATAATAAAATACATATTCAGATATATTATAATGCATATAAATTGTTATTGGTATAGAAATCGGCGGAAAATCAGTCTGACGATGAAGTGGGTTAAAATTAACTTATATTTTGTTTAAAAAAGTTTGACTCAACTTAAGTAATATATTTAAACGAAATATAAATAAATAAGGATTTTTTTACTCCAAGGGCCCCCGACTCTTGTTACCTTTGGGTAATACTAGCTAACAAGGACGCTCTCAAAACAATGCAACACGGTGGGTAGGGAGTGTGTGTGTGTGTGTGTGTAGGGCTGGCTGATTTTTGCTAGAATTTTATTTCATTGAATTTTTATCAATTTGTTGGCAGCTAAATTGAAACAGCAGCATACGCATCAAGAGCCAAACACACCGCTCAGCCGGCATTTTTGCATGTAGTTAGGCTCTATGCTGTTTACTTTGACACACACCACAACCCCCACCGACTGTGCAACTTGTGTACAGCCGTTGTCAGGATGCAGCCACAGCAAAAATTGTTATGAAATTCTGAACAGTGTGTGTTTGTTTCCGTCTTGTATGACAGGTTGTTAGACATTTGACTTTTCTGCCAAACCAAAACCGAGCATCCGCTCTCTCTTGCTTACTTACTACATTGGGCTCATAGTTTAAGCCATTGATTGCATTGCCCGAGCATCTTTGGCTTTTGGCTTTTAGTGCAACAAAGTTTTTAAGTCTTCGTAAAATGTTTTTTCCATCTTTTTCACTGTGGAAGCTGCTGACGCAATAAGCCGAGTGATGTTGACTGAATGCTTGCCTGGATAGGCTTTTTTGCCATTGTAAACCCGGGCATTAAGTACCAGTAAGTATTATCAAGTCGAAGACATGCTTCCACAGACAATATTCGTGTCTTAACAATTTTTTTCACCCCTTTCCTCATTCGCATATGACAAAGTGCATATTAAAGTGGGCTATTGCAGATTTCTTTACAGAGCTACATTCAAGAAGTCGACAGGCATAGTAGAAGCATCCATTAGTATCAGAAAAATATTTTTTAAATTTGTGTATATAAAATAAATGTGTAAA